AAAGAAAGAAAGAAAGAAAGAAAGAAAGAAAGAAAGAAAGAAAGAAAGAAAGAAAGAAAGAAAGAAAGAAAGAACTTGGTTGGCTATTGATCCAAAGATGAAATCAGAAGGGAAGGGAAGGAAGGAGGGAAAGAGAGGGAGGGAAGAAGGAAAGAAGGAAAAGAGAGATAGAGAGAGAAAGGAAGGAAGGGAAGGAAAGAAGGAAGGAGGAAAGAGAAAGACAGACAGTCAGACCTCCAGGGAGATTTCTTCTGGAAAAAATGTCATTAGACAAACAACCATCTTGTTCCAATTACCTTGATCAATTTTGTGGTATCTTCCACAAATCTAAGTGCAAAGCATGACAAAAAATGGAATTTTGTATTCAATGAACAACTTGCATCACTATGTTTATCACATAGAGAACAATGAAAAGCTGTTTAAGGAAATAATGTATAGCCATTTAAATAGTTGTACACATCTAATGCATAACTTTCTAGAAGAAAATTACTAGAACTACCTGTAATCCCTGGCTGATAAAAGATAATGTCAAAACAGAAACCGATCCTTTCAAACAAATATTGATGTAGAGGAGAAAGGTTTTCATTAACCTAAATAACAATTCAAGCAAAGATCATTTAGATCAGGACAGGAAACTGGTGCCCTCCTGGATGTTTTGGGCTGCAACTCTTATCAGTACAAATTGTGAAATTCTGAAGCATATCTAACCTATCAATAACTTGAATATTACAATTAGCTTAAGTATTACATTTTTCTCTTTGATTTTCTGTATGATCTTCCTGCCTTGGTGAAGTTGATTGCAAATAAGTATAATGCAACCTTCCCTATGTAATCCATATAAAAGTACTCTGGGAGATTCATAGGAAGTACTTGTTCTATTAAATTCAAGGTCAATATTTCATGCCCTTCCCTTTTTCTCCTCTCTTCCAATGCCTATAGCAGGCAACCAAAGCCCACATTTCCACAGTGGAGAAACTGATATGTGAGTGCTCACCTCTAAAGTCAAAAGTTTTGATATTTTCTTCTTTCACATTTATGGCTGTGTAAATAGGAAACGGGTTCTGCCCCTGATTCAAAGCCTGTTGCTGGTCAGAGAGCTTAGTGGGATTTATCTTCAAACAAAGGGAAACATAATAAATATTTTAATATATGCATCATTCAATAGAAGAGAATACATGTAGCTAAGGGTTCAACTGGGAAATCCTTGGTATTCTCTGAGCTTGTTTGCTTTTTTTTTGCAGATGTTTCATTACCCAACTAGATAACATCATCAGCACTCGGAAGTGTGAGGCAACCCACACTGACCAGCACAGATCAGGGGTGGGCTTCAAAAGTTTAAGGAATAGGTTCTCTGCCCAGTTACAGGGTGGACATAGCCATGATGGGTGTGGCCTAGTCAGCCTCCTGCACCATGGTGTGGGGGGGGGACGTTTTTGCCCTCCCCGGGCTCCAGAGATTTTCTTCAAGCCTCTGGGAGGGCACAGACAGCCTCCTCGGGCTCCGGAGGCTCTCTGGAAGCCAGAAACAGACCCATTTCCAGCCTTCCCAAACTTCTGGGAGGCCTGTTTTTCATCCTTCCCGAGCCTCTGCACACACCCGGCACTTACCTGCATCCAAAACAGGTCATGTGGGGACTCCTGGGAGGGGAGGGGTGGGCAGGGCCAGCCAGGAGAGGGATGTGGGCAGGGGTGGGATGCTACCGGTTTGGCCCGGTTCTACAGAAGCTGTAGCTGTGAAGAGCAGCTGACACCGAACCAGTTCGGTGTTTTGCCCACCTACCTACCCGGGCTCCTGGCTATTCCCTGCTTTTCCCTCCTCAGCTGCTTTGTGTAGTACAACTGAGATTGAAAAAGCATGAAGCAAGAGGATTTTCGAACGCTGCACACACAAGCACAGAAATCCTTGGATTTCTTGCTTTCTAGCTAATCTAAAAGCAGAACCAAACCTTCCTTAGGACTGAAGCTTTTCAGTGCAGACTCAGGTAGCCGACTGCAGATAGATAGATCTCTAAATGAATCCACGATTCTGTGAGCAACTCAATCTGCCTGCCTGCTTTGCCTGCTTTTGGGTAAAAATTGTTCTTTTTTATAAAAAAAAATCAATGTTTAAATAAATATTTACCATATTTATATACATGCCATGCCCACCCAGTCACATGACCACCACCACACCCACAAATTAGGCCACACCCACAAAACCGGTTGTTAAGAAATTTGAATCCCACCCCTGGAGTTGGGGGTTCTCCAAACTGACAGATTCTTAGCTAGGGGCTCTCCTGAACCCCTGTGAACTCACAGCAGCCCACGCCTGGCACAGATGATGTTACATGATGTTACATTGCTGCTTCAATAGCAGAAACTAGGGATCACATCTTTGCTGCATAACAAATACTTAACATACTCCATCGTAGAAAAAAGCTTCCTGAACAAGGGCCCAGAGTGCTGTAAAAGATGCAAGATGACCAGCTTCAATCCTCTTGGATAGCTCCTTGTGATACTGCTCCAACCTTTCATTAGAAATAATGTCGTTTCTGTTCTTCAGCAACTGTCTTTTTATATTATGGATGTGGTCTTCAAAAGTTTGATGTGACCAGTCCATATGACGATTCAAATGTGTAAGTGTCCTGCAGTAGTGAGAAAAATATTTCATAAAATGGAAATTTCTCCACTATTATATATTCAAAGTATATTTGTAGCATTTTAGAAACTGGTTCAGAATATGCTGTTCTTATAAAAGTTCTAATTCTGATGTCACTATCTAGTTTTCAAGTGGAATTGTCCAAAGAATTCAATCCTGACGGTTTTAATTAACTCTTTGGACACATATTTTGAAATAGAAGAATTTACTCTTGTCCTTTATTATATGCTGACATATACTGCACATGGACAATTCAATTCTAATAATACTTATAATGATTTGAAGTTCACCTTTTTTTTCTGGCTAAAAGATATGATTATTCACCTTGATTCTCAACTTTTAATCCAGCCTCCAACAATATTGTTAAATCATTTTACACACAGAATTGGGGTGTGGGACATTTCTACCCCATCCAGGAATCCCTTCTACTCTTTCTGCACAGTAGTTTCATAGTCCTACTCTAATGAAGGAGTAAAGTCCCACAAGTACTCATCATGGAAAAGCAGGCCAAATGATGTATTTTTCTAATCGTGTTCATTTGCAGGACATAATTTTCTCAACATTGGGCCCTGTATAATTGGAATTCTAATTAAATGTAACACATTTCTCTTAGTTTTTACCATGTTGATCCAGAAGCACTAGTGATATATGTAATGCAATCCAAAAGGTTCAGTTTCTGGAAGGCTGAGAGATGAGCATACAAGGATATCATAGCTCTGAGACCACCTCCAGTTGCCAAAAGAGCAATCACAGGGACCTGTTAGAAATATAAGTAATCACTTCATCAATAATATAAATGGTGACTTTGGCCATAGAACAATCTTGGACTCTGGAAGATAACATTCCAACTCCAAATGATCTTTTAATAGACCAAATTGACAGTTCCAATTTCCAGAGGGGAAAATAGCAGCTTAACCGTTTCCAAAGGCAAACAATGACACAGATTTTTTCGCCTCCAGATTTTTTTTGGGTGGGGGTGTGTTTTTTCTTTGTCTAGATTTAAAGAGAAAACTTACAATGTCACTCATCAAGAATAAGTTGTGGAAACGGAGTTTTTTTCCCGATTGGCTAGTGAGTTGAGCAACAGATAGGTAAGTTCAGGTGAGTCCACAGCTGTCTCACAGCCTAAATTTATAGACAGTAAAACTGACATTCCTCATTCTAATGCTATTTTTGGATTATAATTCATTTTTCAGTTAGAGATTTTGTTTAGATATGAGTGTTTCTATTTGATGATTGTCATTATTTCTGGGTCTATAATATTAAGAAATGGCTGAGAACTTGATTGATTTTTGCTTGCCTCACAAAAACTAAACTAAAGAGATTAAAATAAAATAAAATATCCTTTTTTAAATTTAAAATAGAAAAAGTAACTTTTATGAATAGAAAAAACCTTTGTATAGGAAAGCTGTCTTCTTTATATATCAGTTGTAAAAGAAAACCTTAAAGTCTATTACCAAAGCACAAGATGACTAAAAGAAATATTTGATTTATGGAATGTTAAGTGAACTTTTTACTGGAACTACAAGTTACAATTGAAGATTAACAAATCCTTCTGGAAACAACTGATTACAAATACAATTAGATGTTTATTCGAACATTGAAAAAGACATTGTGGATTACCCTTTCAAATTGAGATTTATTAGAGCTACTTCATGGAAATTGCAAGAAATTTTCAAGAACCTGACCGTGATAAAAATTTCAATACAAGAAGAAAATATACTAAAAAAACAGAAGTCAGAATTTTATTTATGGGATTTAAGAATGGTAGTAAGAAGAGAAAAATATATAATTGGTTTATTTGACTGGCTAAATAATGAGTTCTTATTTTTGATGATGTTGAATGGTTATATAGATTGGATAATGTGTAGATGAGTTTTTGACATCTATATAAGGGGAAATTATTTTTGAGATAAAGTTTCATTAATTTCTTTTTTATAATATTTAATTGTTAAAGAGAGGCATGAGGGAAACATAGAATAAATGGACAAGATCGTTATATATTTATGACATTAGGTGTTTTTGCTAATTTTGATCTTGGCTAAGTAATAAGGGGAGCTGGAGCTTTAGGTATGTGTTTAAAAGATTTATAAAGTTTTGGCTTCTAAGTAAACAGCTGGACAAGTCTCTGCAATTTTCTTGACAAGGTTTTTCAGAAGTGGTTTGCAATTGCCTCTTTCCTAAGGCTGAGACAGAGAGAGAGAGAGAGACTGGCCCAAAGTCATCCAGCTGGCTTTGTGTCTAACACAGGCCTAGAAAATATACTTTCTGAGTTTCTAATATGATGCCTTAACCATTATACCAAATTGGCTCTCTTTATAGGATTTACTTCTATGTCAGCTTATATGTAGGTTCAAGTTTTATACAAACAGAAGCTTAGCATATGGTTCACGTCCAAAATGGATATCCAGAAACTGAATTTTGTAATTTTCAATGAATTTAAGTAACAAGGTTGATTTCTAGAAATCCAATATGGCTTCCATTTTGTGTCCAGACAATATAGCATAGCTCATTCTCTGTTAGAATCATACATGTTGCGGCTCCTGAACTTACATTTTCAATCTAATGTGTTGTGTGGGCACAATTATGCTTGTCAATAACTAGATGGTAATTAATTATTTAACACGCAAATAATTACAAGAAGTCCACATACCTCATCCTCTTGTAACTCCTCTCCTAGATTAAAAAGCTTATACAGAGCATCTGCAACCACTTTTTTCCTCTTGCGCAGAAAATCCTGCTCATCAGGGCAAAGTTCATAACCCAAGCGCACGTCAAGATTCTGTGACCTGGGATACAGAAACAGCCATATCACTGCTAAGCACAGATTAGATATCAGTTCATTTCAACAATAATGCAGTTAGCTGAATATCAATTCACAATTTACAGGCATGGTTTCAGATTTGTTATGGGAATCAAAATTATCCCCATGCCAATCAGTTCAGGATTGCTGGATGCTCTTCACTGCACTAAGCCTTCATTTCCACCTGCTTCAATGGACCTGTTTTATGCGAAGGAAGCACCTCAGGAGGAAGTCTTAGAGCACTGGAGCATGCCCAGCAATGCCACCATTTAATTAATGGGGAGTCAACTAACTTCTTATGTAGATCTGAAGTTATATCTGAAGCTAGAATAGATTAGGCTACAAATAGAAAAATAAGTTCTCATTCAAGGACTATTAAAGTGGAGAATATTTGAATGGTCAGAGACTACATCTCAGCTTATTAATTATAAGAAGAGCTGTGGCTGAATTTTTTCTTTTCCTTTTCAGGTTTGGGAAAATTATTTTAGACTTTGGGGAAACACTTTGTGAAAAATTTAAAGGCAAGGGTGAGATATTGAGGGAAACTGTTCCCATTCCCACTTTTCAGACCACCAAAGGAGGCTGAAATCAAAGCAGTAAAATATGGTGGTTTTGCTACTGAATTTTTGGAGAACTACAAACGAGATACTGGGGAGTTGCATGCAAGCTTCAAATGATGCACAAATAGTGCATGTCATTTTTTCTGTCTTTCCTTTGCATTCACTTGGTGTATTAATTATGCCAAAAAAAATTAGAAAGGAAATACCTTACCCGTCAATTACCTGGAGATACAGCTCCAAGGTATCACCCTAAAAACCCAAAAATATGCATTAGTGAAGACAGTGAAACTGGACTAAAAAGGGGTAGAGACACAAATAAGTTGGGCATGTGAAAAACAAAAACAAATAAACTCTTTAGATTTGTTTAACCAAGGAGTGCATAGGAGTACTTATAATCAATTAATCCATCAATAAAGAAACACAGAAAATGCTATATTAGATTTGAGTTTTCTCAATGCTATATTAGACTTCAGTTTTTCCATATATGAAAAAGTGCAAAACACATGTAATATTTATAAATAAATGATCACTGGAAAGATTCAGTTTGCATATTTGTGGGAAACTCATTTGTCATTTTCCCCAGAGTATGAAAAAGAGAAAGAGAGAAGAAAAAAAAAACGGGGGGAGAGTTTTTGTCTTATCTTTCTGATAAACAATGCAAAATAAGTAAAATGATCCTTGGATGATGTTCCATCATCTATTCTTGAGTCAATTAACAGCTCGGAAATTCTTGAAATTTCAGTAATTCATGTTGTGAACCCAGAATAGAGCTTCTATTATGTTGCTCCCTACTTCAAAATAAGAGATTTCTATTAATTCATTGAAAGCAGTGATTGTGTAATTTATGTATGAATTACATAATGTATGTAATATAAGTATGAACTACAAAATATTATTTATGAATATTATGTCAGAATATTAATAAGTATGATTACATATAGCATTATGTATGAACTACATTATGTAGTTTATGAAGTAGTTTATGTATGATTTCTGACCAGCAGTCAATTACATTAAATTTAAGAGGGAGGGAGAAGCAGCATTTTCCTCTTTTTTTTTTTTAGAAAAACATAGTTTTTAACAGAACTTTCACAGAAAGTTTAAATGATAATTTATTTGTATCACTCAAGTATACTTTAAAAAACAGCAACAGTAATCAGGAAAGGTGATCATTCATTTTTAGAATCAAAACTTGCCTTCCCCGTTGATAGTTCAAGTTTGACCTGATGGCCAACTGGAAGTAGTTTCAAAGGCAGAATTAACGAATAATCAGATTCACTGTCCTTGTTAGGTAAAATGTTCTGGGAAGAAAAAAAAGGTGACCCAAATGAAAAAGATTTAGTATATTACTTATTGCTTGATGATGATAATGATGATTAGCTGACTTTTCAGTCATTGAATGAACTTTTCATTCAGGCAAATTCCAGGCATCAAAAAACTAGCTGAACCCTCAGTTCTTGGACCTCAAGAATTATTTGGTCTCTTTCCTTATATTTTCCTTTAACTATTCTGAACCTTCATTAAATTTACAGTAATTCTGGCTGGCTCAGCAGAAAAGTCTTGGCTAAAGAAATGTACGTATTCAATAACTAGATGGAAGCAGACTATCTCATTGTATTTTGGCTACAATTTACAAATCATTTAAAAATGTGTTGTTTATTTAAATATTTAAAAAAATTTAAAAATTAAAAGTATAAAATATTTTTAAAAATTTAAAATGTAACAAATCAATTTTTAAAAAGTAAAAATGAGAAAATAGCGAATTACAAGAATGAAGAGTGAAGAAGGCAACAATAACAAGATTAGGTGGGAGGGGAAAACAGCCCACACAGTCTAAAACGGCCCATTTGCCAAAGCCAAACCTTCAAGATTCATTGATGCATCAGCAGAACAATGGTTTTTTTATTTGTTGCTACACGATAACCTGATGGATAATTGGGTGTCCATGGAAAAGGGATACATTCATACTTATTTTCCTTTGCTGAATTACAATTACATGATAACTGAGACCATTACCTGAATTTTAACTTTTAGTACTGGCCCAAAGCTTTTTATGCAGTGAAAGCGGAAGGAATCTAAATTTTTGCTTGTCTTCTGTGTTCCTTCATAAGATTGCTCGACTGAAAAGACCAAATTTTTTTTGGCTAAAATAAAACAAGACATGATAAATTAAATTAAATGTTAGATATTTATGCTTTTAAAAATGTGTTGTTAAAAATGTGTTATTAGCATGAGCATTTGTTATTTTGTATTCATAAACTAATTATTGAACTGCATCCTTTGTCAAAGGTATCAAGACATACAGTAAACATAGAACCTCATGTCTCTTTCATGCATATATATTTAATGCTATTCATATATAAAAGGATATGCAGCTTACAACTTGTGTATATGAAAGCATAGTAAGATTAGGTCAAAACTCTTTTCTCTTTCCATAAATCTGATACAAAGAAAATACATCACTTTAAAAATACCTAATTCCAGTTCAAATTCATGTTTTGCCAATTGCCATTCACATTTTATAATTTGAATATAAAAGTAAGGACTTTATTCAGATTTCACACTACTTCCACTTTAACATTCAGATGCTTCAGATATGATAGACCTGAATCATAGGGATCATGAACTACCACTGCGCACTGTATCAAATGCAGCCTACTCTAAACATTATTGCATATCAAGAATCAAATATCACAAAATACACAATATTGAAATAGAATAGCCTTATAAGATCATTATTTTTAATTTATTCTGAAATTTATTGGCTGCTCATCTTACTACAGGGTAATTCTTATTATAAGAATCGCTGTTGCTGTCTTGCCATGCTTATTCAGTAGGTAAAAGAGGGATGCTAAATACTGCTGCTGTCTGTGATTATAGTCTGTCTCAAGCAAGATTACATATTCAAAAATTGTGGGGGGGGGGGGGGGGGGGGGGACCCAGAAGGAAGAAACAATACCATTTGTAAAAGAATTATGGGGAAGATTAAGCGACTTCTTCTCAATGAGTGATGTTTTGCCTTGTTTTAGAAAAACTTTCCCACTCCATTACGTTGCCTCAAGAAAAGTAGGTTCAGTGACAGATGCTTGACAAGGGAAAGGTGTGGCTTCACCTTTAGGAAGGTATTTCAAACTCCAGAGAATAGCTGGCAAGAGATAAACATTCATAGCTTCTTCTTTAACCACTTATGCTAATGAAACAATTTATAAGTATCATCAAATATTAAGCATGCAAGATAACCATCTACTAAAAGGCAAAAGGTCAGCTCTTCGTGGCTTTCCAGAAAGCTAAGAAGATGGACTTTTCCAGTTCTCATAGCTGAGTGGTTCATTCGCTGTTAGCACACGAATTCAATAAAGTCTGAGCAACCAATTTAGCCGCCTCACCTCATTCTGTGGTGCGTTCGTTCCCAGTACGAAGCAAAGGGTATTCTATAATGGCAAAGGTTGTTACAATAAGAGCCACAGTGGTGGCACAGTGGTTAGAATGTGGTACTGCAGGCTACTTCTGCTGACTGCTGGCTGACTGCAATTTGGCAATTTGAATCTCACCAGGCTCAAGGTTGACTCACCCTTCCATCCTTCTGAGGTGGGTAAAATCAGGACCCAGATTGTTAGGGGCAATATGCTGACTCTGTAAACTGCTTAGAGAGGGCTGTAAAGCACTGTGAAGTGGTTTATGAGTTTAAATTGCTATGCTATACTTCCTTGACCCACTGGATGCAACAACTGAGGGAAGGGAATTGGATTGTCCCACTCTACCCAACAAAGTGGGATGGGCAGATTACTTGGCCCTGTGCTATGTGCGGGTTTAAGGATAATAACAGCACATTGAATTGCATCTGTAGAGCAACTGGAAGCTAGTGCAGCTCACAAAGCAGTGGTATGGGCAAAATGAGAGATGCCTGCATGTTGCTGTATTTGGAAGTAACTACAATTTCCTGATGATCTTCAAGACAGTGCATTGCAAGAGTCCAACTAGAAAGTGACCAAGACATGAAGGAATGGGAGCAAGATCTTTCCATCCAGGAATGGGAGCAGTTGGCATGCAAGCTGTATTTGTGCAAAGAACCCATCAAGCAGGAAAAGTGGGTTCAGGAAGACTCCCAAACTGTACAGTAGTTCTCCCTGGGGAGCTGCTACCCCATTGATGGTTAAAGTTTACCCATCACTGGACCCTGGAGAGCCAAAAACTCAAAGCCACTCCATCTGGTGAAAGTTTCACCAAAGCTGGTTTCTCCCCATCCAGACCATTATAGCCTCCACACTCTAGGACAGCACAAAACAGTGAAGATGTATAACTAGAATCATTGGCATAGTGAAATATCACGTCCCATGCCACTGAATGACCTCATGCAGAAGTTTCACATAGATGTCAAAAAAGAATGGTGAGGAAGCTCTGAGGTCGCCCACCAAGTTCCACCAACACCACCTAGAAACCCCTACAGATGAAGGAGGAGAAAGACCACAAACAGCATCTCCCCTCCCTAATCCTGAAGCCATCATGAAATCCAGGAGGACTATGGTCTAATGGTCTTCCACAAACATGATCAATGTCATTTCCATACCATTATTCCACTCTGAATCCAGCCTAGAAAGGGTCCACATCATTAATGAAATTTTCCATAGGACTAAAATGATAGCATAGTTGCCAACATATAATATTTGCTATACAGTGTAATGGCATCTGGGAAAAGTCTTCAAAGTTGACTACACAAACACTAGAAAGACCCTATAATAGAAACCCTCCAACACTGTGACATCCAGCCAAGGGAACTAGAAGCTGCAGCTGCTGACAGAATCCACTGATGAAATCTCTGCTATGAAGACTCCAACACCTTTGAAGACTGGCATCACCAAAAACTGAATAGTGTCACAGAGTGACATCCCACAGTTATCGTAACAATGGACTTTCAGTGTCCCCACTGAACTAGACTCTGTGCTTCCAGACAGAGACTGAAGAGCCACCTCCGTTTCCACAGATAAACTGCACCACAGTGTGTCTTCTTCAAACCAAAAGATACTCTGGGGGCTGCAATTCCCTAAACTCTAGTCAAGAAATCCATATAAATACATAATAAGTGAGACTAAACTGGCAACGTGCAGTCAGAATAAAGAAATACTTTTCAGATGCCTTTGCAATATTATCAGCATCTGCTCTTTTTTTGGTTTACCATGGACACATCTGGAAAATGTGTCCTGCCTCAATCTTGAAAACCTGCAAAGGCAATCAGGAAGGTATTGTCAGGGCTGCCAGATCTGTCATCTCAGTAAAAAGTCATTTTAATCTCCAGGACTGTGCATCAATTCTTGTCTTGGATGACTCCTTTGCTTTCCTTTCCAACACGGTGGAGAAGGCTGCTTATTTTCACACTTCCAAATCGCATCACTTAACAATTTCAATATAATTGCAAATGGCAATTATGCAAAAGAGAGGGGGGAAAAAAGAATTCCTGAAAAAGTAGCTGTAATTTTTTTCCAAGAATTCACCAGCATTGGGAGGATTTTAAACTATTTTGATCCTTTGCATATGCCCCAGATTTGGTAATAGCTACAGTAAATGCCATTTTGCATCATAAATTCCATCATGGGATATTGAGAAATCACAAGCACATTATTCACAAAACATGTCAATTTTTCCTTTTCTGGATGGCTTTAAAAATCTCTGCCCTTTGGAGAGAATTAGGAATTGGATGGTTTTAATGGTTTCTGTTTAAACATAGCACAACAATAAGATTGTAAAAATACATTTTTGATCATTGTTGATTGCAAAAGTCTTCCCTTGGAGTACTGTGCAATGGTTTAAAATGAACATTTTTCTAAATCAGAAGATTGGAATTAAAGTAATAAGCAGTGTTACAAATATCAGAAGAGGCCTAAACTGGAAGAGTAATTTGTCTTTTAATTGTGAAGTACTCTCACCAATTCACCACTCGATCTCTAGACATTTTCTGATATCCCTTACCGGCACCCTCTCTTTCTAGAATGCTGGCCTCAGCAACTGCTAGAAACCACAATGATTTCACAATGTTTATTGCAAAGCCACAGTGCAAATTCTACTTTTCCATTGTTTATCCCAGTGATAGTTGCAAGTTCAAAAGTCACAGAGGAGTCATGAGGTCATGGCACAGATTTTTCAAAAAAAAAAACCTCACACAAATGCCCTTGAGGGTATAAGTCCCTGATGGCAAACCTACGGCATGCATGCCCAAAGTGGCATGTGGAACCATGTCGGCTGGCAAATGCAGTATCGCCCAATCCTCTTCCAGGTTTCTGGTGTACATGTGTGCATGATGATCAGCTGTTTTTTATGCATGTGGCATTGCTGGAAACTGGAAGAGTTGGTCTTCCATTTTCCATTGTGTGCATGTGCGCTGGGCAGCTGACTGTCATGTGCGCATGTGTGCCAGTAACTGAAAGACAAGCTGGCTGGTGCGTGTGCACATGCTGGAAACTGGAAGTTCTAGGCAGCTTCTTTTCCAGGGCACGTCCCTGACATGCGTGCGTACCCGCCCTTTTTGGCACTTTGTGCCAAAAAGGTTTTCCATCATTGGTATAGGTCAGTGGTGGCTAACCTTTTTGGGCTCCTGTGCCAAAAATTGCATGCGTGCCAGCACACACAAACTCGCGTGCCAGCACCCAGAATGCAATGCATGTCCCCCTCCCCACACCACCTGTGCATGCATGCATAATCCCCCCTCCCTTACCTGCACTGCACCTCACAGTTGATTTTTTGGCTGGTTTGAGGCCTTTTTCTGCCTCCCAGAGTCTTGGAAAAAGCCTCTGCAAGGCTTTTCAGGCCTGGGAGGCCAAAAAAGACCTCAAACCAACCCCAAAAATATCAGCTCTGAGGCACGCGCATGCGCAGTGAGGCAACTTGTGGCACATGTGCCATAGGTTCCCTATCACGGATATAGGTAATCCTTGACTTATAGTCATTTGTTTAGCCACCGTTCAAAGTTACAACAGCCTTGAAAAAGTGACTTATGACTGGTCCTTGCCTTATGACCATCGCAGCCTTCTCATGATCACATGATCAAAATTTGGGCCTTGGACAATCAGCATGTATTTATAATTAACGCCTCCAGGGTGATGTGACAATTATTTGCTACCCTCTCAGCCCTAGGACACAGGCAACGGCAGACCGCTTGAAAACTGCAGGGAAAACTGCAGGAGTCAACATTAAAAGATAGACACACACACATATACAAACAAGGTATATACCTTTCAATACTTTCTCGTTATCCTCTTTGCTCACTTTTACATCCAAAATGGAAAGTCCACAGGCCTGTGAAAACCAAAGATACAACATTGTGTCTAGAACTTTATTTATTTCTTTGCATTACATCATATCCCACAATATAGTGCTTCCTAATGGAGAAAAAGAAGGGCATATACCCATTTTTCTCAACCTGCATCTTGCAGATTTTCCAACCTATGTGGTTAACATGGACCCAAAACCTCTAAGGAGTACCAAACTTCCCGAAGACCCCAGAAGAAGAATCCTTACCACTAGGACACCATTGGAAATTAGTTGCTCGGGAGGACCTGGCCTAAAAAGCAGAACAGGGGGAAGAAAAATAAACAAAAAAGAACAAATAAGACCAAGGTTGTTATCCTTTACTATTTTAGAAATAAGGCTTTGTGAACGACTGACAAAAACAGGAAAGGCAATACAAACAGCTACAGACACTCCTATTCTATAAATTGCCAGCCAGATAAATCATTAAGATGTTTGTGCACTGTGACGCAGAGTAAACTTCTTTACTCCGTACATTTTTATCAATTTGTCCATGAACTGAATTTAAAGTGGCACCAGTAAAACTTAATGGAGTGTGGAAAAGCCAAGTCCAAAATATAATAACAATAATAACAACTGGAGCATCACCTGAACACCATTCCCATTGACAAAGTCACCCTCAATCAATTGAAAATGGGCAGTTCTGCTTGGAAATCATATCTAACAATATCTCAACAACCTCTACTTATACCAGATCCTCGGGAAGGGCTTGATAGGTTAATAAAAGTGCCAAATCCAACCTAAACATTTGGCTGACTATGTAACCAACCATAATATTTTTTTTTCTTTTTATGACCCTGTAATCCCTTGTATTGGAGTGGAGTCCGGGCAACTGAATGGAGCTGACCATTTAGTGGCCAGACGTCCTTGGTGACACCTGTGTGGAGTTATTCTTTACTCCCTAATAGAGAAACATTTGTCCCTGCTTAGAATTGAACTCTCAGCCTCCTGAGTGTGGGGCTGGGAACTTTTCCTCTAGGCCACCGCACTGCACAACCAACTATAATAAACAGTAATCCAAAACGTAAAAAGAAATACCAGCAGTACTTCAGTACAGCACCAAATTAAAGAATAAGATAACTTGTCAATTAAACACTTTTTGTATTTTTATTTCTTTTGTAAGTTCACCATCAATGCTCATAGAAGCAAAAGAGCAGATTATACATTTGATAAATAAAACAAGCTCCTTCCTCTTCCATCTACAAAAATAAAGTATCTGGATTAGGTCTCATGCTTGGCCTAGAGAACCTCCTCGAATAGAGATGGAGACATTACAGGAAGTGATGTCACCATGAAAAGATCCTATTGATTATTATAGGAGCAAAAAAGAAAAAGAAAAAATATTTTGATGATCAAATAGACCAGAAACTGACCTTCCCCCCGCACCCCGTTTTATATAGTAACTTGTAACATATGCAATCTATAAGCAAAAATAAGAAATGTAGTTCCTTAAATTCAGAATAATGCAGAATTAGTGGCTAATGGTCCTTGTCCAAATCAAATTGGCATGCCAGGATCCAGCTTCTGACAATGCAGTAGAGAAACTGGCCACTTCCGTTGTTAAGGAAACAGACTCAACAGCCACAAAACTGGACATCTTTGGGGGAATTTTTTGGGGAGAAGGAATTTATTCTGAGGTAGAGTTGGAAGGGTGATTCTGTTCTAATTATGGAACACTACGTAGAAGAGCTAGTAGAATCTCCAAATGGTTGGTTTCCTATAATATAAGCTAAAATAGGGGTGGAAAATTAGAGATTCAATATCTGCAGGAACTGCAGCATAGGTTAGCACAAGGCTGTCAAACTCCCGGCCCACAGGCCAGATGAGTCATGTGCTGGCCATGCCCATGCACGGTTTAGCAAAGGAGGGGAAAGTCCCAATACGTCACATGACGCTGCCATGCTATGAGTTTGACACTCCTAGTTTAGCATATTGTATAAATCAGAGCAAAGTTACATCATACTATGTTTCATTTATTTGGATGCAGTATGTTATATGAACAGAGATCTGTGTTTCAGTCTATTATGTTACATAAACATAGGCAATGTATCAGAATACAGTTGTATGGCATTCCATAATAGATCATTGCAGAATTGTATGGCTTACTAAACAAAATAGGATAGAACAGGGTAAGGTAAGATAGAATAGGATACCCAAATACCCCCAAAACAATTCCTCTTTTTAATTATCTGCTGAATAATTCAAAGGATGAATTTTGCAAGACCCAAACCATGAACAATGACTTCATGTTTACACTTACATATCTGACAGCTTGAATTCCACTTCTAGAAAATCATAACGATCAGGTTGTTCTTGTGTCTGGTAACAGAAAAACATTTATAAAATGCACAGGAACGAAGACAACATTAATATATGCAGTCCACCAAACAGGAGAGGAGAGGAGAGGAAAGGTGTCAGCCCTGAATCTATACTTTGAGGAACATGCCTGCCTTGAAGTTTTGATTCCAGTGTGAACTAGAACCCTGACAAGGAAAGGAAAAGAAAGGAAAGGAAAGGAGAGGAAAGGAAAGGAAAGGAAAGGAAAGGAAAGGAAAGGAAAGGAAAG